ATTTGTATTATGATGAGTATTATTAATATTGCCTGCACACTTTTAATTCATATTCAACAAATCAAAGCCTCCTGTCTCAGCAGAGCACGTGGGAAAATGAAACAGAGATGGATTTGTGTTTAATATTAAATAGTAAATTGTCTTCACTTCTTTCTTAATGGAGCTACTGGATTCTGTTGATCATCCAAATCAACAATAATTGTGGTTAGTAACAGAAATCAAAATGTTTTAAAACGACAACATTGAAAGTGTTGTGAGATTTTATCTTAATATTTCCTATCAAAAATAAATATAATGAAAGAAATTGTGCTTGTATGTGAGTGCCAAGTGTTTAATTATCTCACAAACACAATCAGTAAAAATGATTGTACATACAATTAGTAAGATAGCTGTGGAATGGGGAACCACTGTCTAGTGGTGTAATTTAATTGTAGAACAGGTTTTGCTGACTGCTGATGCAAATTAATTTATACATATTTGGTGGTGCAATTTTAGACTTTTGCAATCCGCTAATATCTTGGCACTTTATTTTGAAAGGGATAACGGAAATATCCAACATTTGTACAGACTAAGAGTGTCATAGGACATGTGTGTATTTGTACATGTATTTTCAAGTTGCCTGACAGTTTAGGGCAATCTCAGGATTTTGTAGAATTTTCTTAGGCAAAGAACACTAAGAAGTGCTTCTTTGCCTAATGGTTTGCCATTACCTTTTCCTGAGATAATGCCTACAGCACCTGGTATACATTGGTAGTCTTCCATACAAGTACTAGCCGGAGTTGAGCCTCTTTAGCTTCCAACATCAGATGGTATTGTATAGCTTTGGGATATTTCGGTCTCTTGTTGAGTGATTTCAGCAACTGCAAAACCATGGGTTTGGAAGCTCAGTGCATCTAGCTATTCCAGAAGGCTGAATCAGGAAACTGATGGGTTAGAAGGCAAAAGCAGAAGTTTTTATTTTTCCGGGCCAGAAAGGATATCAGCAGAGTCTGTTCCCCCAAAGATTGACATACTGCAGTTGTGAATACAGAGCATTTTTATTTCAGCTATCAAAGAAACCCATGCCAGCCCGATTGATTGAGAAACAGTTCAGCTAGGATCCTTGCTCTGGTTGGCTGAGGACTCCGTGGAGCGGCTTCACTGATTAGCTCTTGTGGGTGGCAGGAAATTCAACAAAATGTCACTGGGTTATGTGAAGTGTCTGTCTGTTTAATGGTGCGGGGGACGTGATTGAAAGGAATGCTGTCTGAGAATATGCAAAGAAGTTTGCGATTGGCTTAACGGGTTAGTTCTGGTGTGAGTCCAGTGTACACAGTGATACTTGCAAGTGATAATTGTTTAAACAGGTGAAGATGAGTTGTGGCTGATAACCCTTAAACAGGTGAAGATGACTTGTGGCTGATAACCCTTAAACAGGTGAAGATGACTTGTGGCTGATAACCCTGGCTGATAACCCTGAGGAGCAGGAAACACTTTGACTTACATTTCTCTCTGTCTCCCAATCCATTATGAGGAGATTGTCGAGATTGAGACAGGGCTCTTGGGTGCGACTATTTATTTATTTATTTATTTAATGCATTTGTTGACCGCCGCTCTCAGCCCTAGGGCGACTCGCGGCGGTGTACAACATATAAAAAACAGTTTACAAAAAACACACAGTACATCAACAAGCCATAATTACACACTTAATCTAAATTACACTAACTAATCCGCACCGTCACAACATAGGGATCTACCAGTCTCATAATCCGTATTCCGTTCCGATTGTCATTGTCAGTTAGTCTGGCACTAGTTAAATGCCTTCTCGAAGAGCCAGGTCTTTAGGCTCTTACGGAAAGCCATAAGGGAGGGCGCCTGTCTGATGTCAACAGGGAGGGCGTTCCACAGCCGGGGGGGCCACCACTGAGAAGGCCCTCTCTCTCGTCCCCGCCAGACGTGCCTGTGAGGCAGGCGGGATCGAGAGAAGGGCCTCCCCAGACGATCTCAAGGCCCTCGTGGGCTCATAGGCCAAGATGCGGTCCGAAAGGTATTTTGGGCCGGAACCGTTTAGGGCTTTGTAGGATAACACCAGCACCTTAAATTGGGCCCGGTAGCAAATCGGCAGCCAGTGGAGCTGGGACAACAAGGGCGTTGTATGCTCCCTGCGTCCCGAAATACAACACCGCCTGAGCTCTGCGACTGCAGCATTTTTCCAAATGAAGCAGAAAGTGTTTGAGGACCGGGACATCCGTAGGGATACCAAGGTGCTTGTTTATAAAGCTATTGTCCTCCCAACCTGCTATATGCCTGTGAGACGTGGACTGTCTACAGACGTCACATGCAACTCCTGGAACGATTTCATCAGCGCTGCCTCTGGAAAATCCTGCAAATCTCTTGGGAAGACAGCGGACAAACGTCAGCGTGCTGGAAGAAGCAAAGACCACCAGCATTGAAGCGATGGTCCTCCGCCATCAACTCCGCTGGACCAGCCACGTTGTCCGGATGCCCGACCACCGTCTCCCAAAGCAGTTGCTCTATTCTGAACTCAAGAATGGAAAACGGAATGTTGGTGGACAGGAAAAGAGATTTAAAGATGGGCTCAAAGCCAACCTTAAAAACTCTGGCATAGACATTGAGAACTGGGAAGCCCTGGCCCTTGAGCGCTCCAGCTGGAGGTCAGCTGTGACCTGCAGTGCTGTAGAATTTGAAGAGGCACGAATGGAGGGCAAAAACTGCCTCATTGGGCCGGCTATAACCGTATTTGCCAGCATTATTGTTATTGTTGTTGTTGTTGTTATCTGATACACAATAAGATTAGTACACAGCAAACAGATCACCATGCTAGGTTTTGCATTATTATTTGAAACACAACAAGATGAGTCCACAGCAGACACTCTGCTGGCTGTTGAATTGGATCACACTCATCATCATCATCATCATATTTTTAAGCTGCAGGTGGTGGAGTTCTTAGCTGCCCAATCCAAGGCTATTGGTTACATTGGGTTGGCTTTAACAGCATTTGCCCACAGTTGTTGTTGTTGCTGTTGTTGTTGTTTTATTTTCAAATTGCAGGTGGTGGAATCTTTTGCAGCACAATCCATGGCTTCATTGGGCTGGCTATAAATGCATTTGCCAGCAGTTGTTGTTATTATTGTTCTTGTTATTAAAATATTTTCCAGCACAGGTGTTGAAATCCATAGTAGCAGAATCCATGGCTACATTGGGCTGGCTCTAACCGCATTTGCTGGCATTTGTTGTTATTATTGTTGTTCTTATTGCTGTTGTTATTATTATATCAGCCCAATCCATGGCTACACTGGGCTGACTCTAACCACATTTGCCAGCAATTTCTGTTATTATTGTTGCATGCAGTAGATCAATAGGTACAGCTTCTTCAGGAAGGTAATGGTGCTCCATGCAGTCATGCTGGCCACATGACCTTGGAGGTGTCTACAGACAACTCCAGCTCTTTGCCTCAGAAGTGCTCACTTAGAAAGCTCACTATGTCGGATTTTGCATAAACTTAATATGGACACTAAGATCATCTAGGGAGGCCCTGCTCCCAGTCCCGCCTGCATCACAGGTGCGCTTGGCTGGGACGAGAGACAGGGCCTTCTCAGTGGTGGCCCCTCGGCTGTGGAACGCCCTGCCTGCAGATATCAGATTGGACCCCTCCCTGCTGGCGTTTCGGAGGAAAGTGAAGACCTGGCTGTTTGAACAAGCATTTGATTAAACAGTGTAATTGAACATAGGAATACAGAATAATGGATGACGAGACTGGATTCCGATTTTACTGTTGAGGCGCTAATGATTGTTATACTGATGTTAATGATTTATGTGATAATTGTTTTTAATTGCCCTATACTTGTTTTGTGATATTTTGTACTGATGTTGTTCACCGCTTTGAGTCGCCTGAGGGCTGAGAAAAGCGGTATAGAAATAAAGTAAGTAAATAAATAAATATTATTATTATTATTATTATTATTCTGACACAAAAACACAGTATGACACAGCAAACGAAAAATATATGCTGGTTTTCATATGATGATGATGATGATCATAGAATCATAGAATGAAAGAGTTGGAAGAGACCTCATGGGTCATCCAATCCAACCCCCTGCCAAGAAGCAGGAATATTGCATTCAAATCACCCCTGACAGATGGCCATCCAGCCTCTGTTTAAAAGCTTCCAAAGAAGGAGCCTCCACCACACTCCGGGGCAGAGAGTTCCACTGCTGAACGGCTCTCACAGTCAGGAAGTTCTTCCTCATGTTCAGGAGGAATCTCTTCTTGTAGTTTGAAGCCATTGTTCCGCGTCCTAGTCTCCAAGGAAGCAGAAAACAAGCTTGCTCCCTCCTCCCTGTGGCTTCCTCTCACATATTTATACATGGCTATCATATCTCCTCTCAGCCTTCTCTTCTTCAGGTTAAACATGCCCAGCTCCTTAAGCCGCTCCTCATAGGGCTTGTTCTCCAGACCCTTGATCATTTTAGTCGCCCTCCTCTGGACACATTCCAGCTTGTCAATATCTCTCTTGAATTGTGGTGCCCAGAATTGGACACAATATTCCAGGTGTGGCCTAACCAAAGCGGAATAGAGGGGTAGCATGACTTCCCTAGATCTAGACACTATGCTCCTATTGATGCAGGCCAAAATCCCATTGGCTTTTTTTGCCGCCACATCACATTGTTTGTTGTTGTTGTTGTTCTCCTCATTGTTGTTGTTGTTCTTCTTCTTCTCCTTGTTGTTGTTGTTGTTGTTCTTCTTCTTCTTCTTTTCCTTCCTCCTCCTCCTCCTTCTTCAAGCTGCAGGTGATGGGATCCTTAGTTGCCCAATCCATGGCTATTGGCTACATTGGGCCGGCTTCAATCGTATTGGCCGGCAGATGGCGCCATAGAGCTCATTTGCTGACGTACTTACGCACTACAACCCCCAGTACACCGCGGGCGCCCGTTCCCGCCGCTCGCTCGAGAAGTCCTGGGCGCGGAGGCTGGCGGGAGTTGTAGGCGGCGAGAGAGAGCGCCGGAGTCCAACCCAGTGGGAGGGACCGGCGGCGGAGGCAGGGGGACCCAGGTGCCCTCGGAGGAGGCGGCGGCGGAGGAGGCAAGGAGGCGTCCCTGCAGGTGACGGCAGCAAACGCGGGGGGGAGGCCGGGAAAGGCAAGCGGAGGGGGGCCGGGCAAAGGCAGAGGACAGGCCTGGGTTGCAGCCAGCAGAGCCCGCTTCCCAGCCTTGAGCTTGAGCCTGTGGGCATGCAAATTCCTGCAGCAGCCTCTCTGTATGTACAGCAGCGGGGAGGGGAGGAAGGGGAGGAGTGGGGCACCCCTTCCCTTTCAACCCCCCTCCCTTTTGGGGCCATCCCAGTCCTTGGGGGCCCTCTGCAAGAGGAACCATTCCTTGTCTCCACGAGGAGCCATGCAAGTGGGCATTCATTGCCTTTGTTAGCAGGAGCTGCAATAGTTTCCCAGGCTCTCTTGGTTTGGCCCCAATCCCAGAGGTGGAAGAGACTCCCAAGGGCCACCCCGTCCAACTCTGATCTGTCATGCTGCAAAACACCATCAAAGCCCTCCCGACAGATGGACATCCAGCCCCATTCCAAAACAGCAGCAGGACGTTCCACTGCCAGACAGCCCTTACCATCAGGACTTTCTTCCTCATACTCAGGTGGAATCTCTTGCCCTGCAATAAACATGGGCCACCTGCTCTCCTAATTCCTGTATTGGACACACAACCTTTGGTTTGAGTGTAGACTCCACCTAAACCTGGCATGAGCAAACTTTGGCCCTCCAGGTGCTTTGGACTTCAACTCCCACAATTCCTAACAGCCGTACAGCAGCGGGGAGGGGAGGAATGGGGCACCCCTTCCCTTTCAACCCCCTCCCTTTTGGGCCATCCCAGTCCTTGGGGGTCCTCTGCAAGAGGACTTCAACTCCCAGCCGGTAGGCTGTTAGGAATTGTGGGAGTTGAAGTCCAAAGCACCTGGAGGGCCAAAGTTTGCCCATGCCTGACCTAAACATTAGGAAGAACTTCCCAACTGGAATATCCTACTGACTTGGAGCTTGGTGGAGTCTTCTTCCACCATCTGGAGGTTGGATGGTCATCTGTTGAGAGTGCTTTGATTGTGTTTTCCTGCATGACAGAATGGAGTTGGACTGGGGGTCTCTTCCACCTCTATTATTCTATTTGTATGCTCTTGTTAGTGCCATCAGTATACAGCTTGATCCACTGCAACTCCCATTGCATAGTGGGACCATAAGAAAGCATATGGACAGATGCCCAATTGGGGTGCACAAGATGGTCATCTGTTGAGAGTGCTTTGATTGTGTTTTCCTGCATGACAGAATGGAGTTAGACTGGATGGCCCTTGGGAGTCTCTTCCAGCTCTATGATTCTATTTGTATGCTCTTGTTAATGCCTTCAATATACAGCTTGATCCATTGCAACTCCCATTGCATAGTGGGACCATAAGAAAGCATATGGACAGATGCCCAATTGGGGTGCACAATGTGGATTGTTGCAATTTACAGCCCTTCCACACAGCCATATAACCCAGAATATCAAGGCAGATAATCCACAATGTCTTGTCGAAGGCTTTCATGGCTGGAATCACTGGGTTGCTGTACGTTTTTTGGGCTGTCATGTTCCAGAAGCATTCTCTCCCACAATATCTGCTTTGAATTGGAGTCCAAACTGCCCTATAATCCAGTTCAATGTGGATTTTATACAGCCGTGTGGAAGGGCCCTGAGTCATGAGGAGAGGCAGGAAACAAAATTTATTGTTGTTGTTGCCGTTGTACCCTTGCCATAGATGTAGGCAAAATGTCAGGAGAGAATGCTTCTAGAACATGGCCATATAGCCCAAAACACCTACAACAACCCAGGGTTTGTTTGTTTTTGTCGTGTCAGGAGCGACTTGAGAAACTGCAAGTCGCTTCTGGTGTGAGAGAATTGGCCATCTGCAAGGATGTTGCCCAGGGGATGCCCAGATGATTTGATTTTTTAATCATCCTTGTGGGAGGCTTCTCTCATGTGCCCGCATGAAGATCTGGAGCTGATAGAGGGAGCTCATCTGCCTCTCCTCGGATTTGAACCTGCGACCTATCAGTCTTCAGTCCTGCGGGCACAGGGGTTTAACCCACTGCGCCACCGGGGGCTCCAACACCCAGTGTTGTTGTTGTTATTATTATTATTATACTTCCCATGATTCCATAACACTGATTCATGGTGTCAAATTGTATTAATTTTAGAGTGTAGATGCACCCAAAGATGACTTGATCCCTCACTAAAATTGCCAGGAGCCCCCAGTAGCGTAATGGGTTAAACCCTTGTGCCAGCAGGACTGAAGACTGTTAGGTCGGAGGTTCAAATCTGGGGAAAGTGTGGATGAGCTCCCTCTGTCAGCTCCAGCTSCAYATGTGGGGACATGAGAGAAGCCTCCCACAAGGATGGTCAAACATCAAAACATCTGTGCGTCMCCTGGGCAACATGCCAGGAGCCCCCAGTAGCGTAATGGGTTAAACCCTTGTGCCAGCAGGACTGAAGACTRTTAGTTCGAAGGTTCAAATCTGGGGAGAGTGTGGATGAGCTYCCTCTGTCAGCTCCAGCTCCACATGCGGGGACATGAGAGAAGCCTCCCACAAGGATGGTMAAACATCAAAACATCTGTGCGTCCCCTGGGCAACATCCTTGCAGACGGCCAATTTTCTCACGCCAGAAGCAACTTGCAGTTTCTCAAGTCAGTCCTGACATGAAAAAAAAAAAACCCAACCGAAAATTGGCCTTGTTTGAAGGTCTTTGTTTTGGGGGAGGCCTTGATAAACRATTGCCTGCAAAGAGCTCCAGGACTTGAAAACATACTCTGCACCGAGGGGTGCAAATCTGTTTAGCAACAACCACAATGCAAACCTTCTTTGTTGATTTGGAGTCACTGCACTTGTCAAGGCAGCTATTTTCCTCTGTTTAAGGGGCTTGCTTCTATCCATGTGCTCTGATTCAACTCACCGCCAAAACAGCTCTTTCTCCAAGCCCACTTTGTTTCCTCTCTGTGGGCATTTGTTGCCATGTGGGTTTTCTTCTTCTTTGTTCATTCATTCTTTGGGGGGGGGGGGGTCCTATCCTCCCTGCTTTGGGACCACAGACATAGCAAAGTATCCCGGGCTGCAGCTGAGTCAAAGTGGGTCCTGGGTTGTTTGTTGTTGTTGGGTTTTGCAGAGGATGAATTGATGTGCTGTCCCACTTTGGAGGCATCCCTGGGCAGCTGGGAGCGGGCGCCTGGGAAACAGCAGCCGGGGGACAACGGAGGCGGAAGAATCCTTTTGTGTGCTGCCTGGCTTGCATGGCATCTCTCTGGGTCCTTCTCGCCTCCGTCCTGGCTGGAGAAAGAGTGTTTCTCAGCTTGGAAAAACCTGACCGTTTCTGATCTTTCTAGCCACTGGCTTTGTCGCGCTCGTCTCCCCTCTTGTGCTGATGCTTGCTTTCTTTGCAGGCAATCATCTATCCAGGAGCCTCGAGCTTGTTGTCGGAAGAAGCCAGGAAAGGGGACACAGATACGCCTGCCCTTGGTTGTACAGAAGCGTGTGCTGATCTCAACACCTTGACATCAGACCTCCTTTTGCCATCTGTGACTGAGTTCCCTGAAGCGGTGGCACACAGAGGAATAGAGGAGGAAGAAGGGGAGGAGGTGCGATCGGCGGCAGCAGCAGAAGCCGATAACCCTGCCCTCCGTGTGAGTTTGTATTAGCAGAGTATGCGCTGATTTGCTGGCTGGGCTCAAGACCCATCCCAGCCGTTCAGGGTGTGTGGTGCATGGTGTGGGGGGTATCCACTGTCTCTGTAATAAATGATAGAGGATACAATGACTTTGCTCTCTCTGCTGGGTCGGATCATGCGTTACTTCTTGCTGAGACCAGAGACACTCTTCTTGCTATGCATCAGCCTGGCCCTGTGGAGCTACTTCTTCCACACGGATGAAGTGAAGACCATTGTGAAGTCCAGCAGGGACGCTGTCAAGATGGTGAAGGGCAAAGTGGCGGAGATCATGCAGAACGACCGGCTCGGGGGTCTGGATGTGCTGGATGCAGAGTTTTCCAAGACTTGGGAGTTTAAGAACCACAATGTGGCCGTGTACTCCATCCAAGGCCGGAGGGATCACATGGAGGACAGGTTCGAAGTCATCACTGACCTTGTAAACAAGACCCATCCTTCCATATTTGGGATATTTGATGGTCATGGAGGAGAGGCAAGTTTTATGCTTTTTGTTTATTTCCTTCTTGTAATCTACAGTTTTGAGTTTTATATCTGTTTTTATAGTTGATGTTTATTGTTTTATTGGGTGACCTGATGGTGCAGCAGGTTAAACTGCTGAGTTGTTTAACTTGCTGACCAAAAGGTTGGTGGTTCGAATCTGGAGAGCGGTGTGAGTTCCTGCTGTTAGCCCCAGCTTCTGCCAACTTAGCAGCTCGAAAACATGCAAATGTGAGTAGATCAATAGGTACTGCTTCTGCAGAAAGGTAATGGTACTTCATGCAGTCATGCTGGCTACATGACCTTGGAGGTGTCTACGATCAACTCTGGCTCTTCAGCTTAGAAATGGAGATGAGCACCACCCTCCAGAGTCAGACACAAATAGACTTAATGTCAAGGGAAACCCTTACTTATTGTTTGTTAACATCTCTGGTTAGAGGTAGAAACTGCTATGAGGAAGTGGAAAACCTAATCTTACCTATTAAAAACTGCAAAAGATCCTGAGAATAATGTCTGGGCACACAGGTTTGCTTGGAGTCATTTCTTGTGAAGCTGTGTGAACTTGCATTAGATGGTGGCTTTGGCAAAATTATTTCTGTATATTCTGTGATGGTTAACATAAAGCCAATGACTATTGACATGGAAGTGCAATTATTTGGGAAGGGGGGAGAAATGGTTTGTGAGAGATTCCCCTGTAATTCCTGGCTAAGAAACCATGTTTGACAAACTTCCCTTCTTTGAGTTGAACCAAGGAATTCCTCTCCACAATATTTTGGTGTTCTTCATTATGTTTTCCATCTTTAGAAGTTTCCTCTTTGTTTTCATAGCATCTTGTAACCCTTCTGCTTACCTGATCTTGTTTGTCTTGGACAGCAGCATCAATCCCATACCTGCCTTTCTCCCTCCTTATAAGACACCCACAGAAAGGTGTTTTTAGCTTTTTTCATGGGGGAGGGAGGCAAAAAAGGGTTTTAATTGACTTCTATATACAAACTTATTTCCTGTGTTAAGACATAACTTTGTATGTAGACTGTCAATGATAACTCTTCTAGACATAGGGATTGCTAGTTAGCCATATGACTTCTCCATAGATTTAAAGAGTAGCCCCAGGAGTTGCTGCTAGTAGCAAGGGGTTGAGCATTCTCTTAAAGTTAAATGAAATATTTCATACCAGTCGAAGCGCTTGCCGTGTGTTTGTTTGTATTTGCATCTGTGTTGTGATCCAAGGTTTTGGGGGGGTTTTTTGGGTTTCCTTCAGCTGTTCTGACAAGTCAAACTTGCTTTGGGAGCTCTGACAGGGATCAGGTCATAAATTGAGCTCCCAAAGGAGAGCAGCTGTTCCTATAACTCCTGCCGTGTTGTGCCTCTTGCTTTCCTTCAGTTCTCCCCAGTAGCCCAGTCTTACACAGCCAAGCGTCTTCTGAAAGGAGTCCTATCTGAGCTCACTTGGGCTTCCTGCCAAGAAAACATACACGATATTGTGCTCCAAATCTCCAGCAATGTAGGATTCGGAAATCAAAGTTACTGCCACATAGCTTGGAGAACAGCTGCTGTAGTTGTAAAGATCAGTTTATTGTTGAAGAGCCCAGCTCAGTAATCTAATACTTGATTGGGATGCATCTGCTTTCTCCGGTTTGTTTTTAAAGGAGGAAGGCTTGTGTGCGCGGATTGTATTCTGCCTCTGATCCTAAAAATCTGCCTCTTGTCGGTGCCACATTTAAAGTGAACAGGAACCCAGTAACATTCCTAACGGCATAGCCTTCCATTTATTTCTGCAAATCTTTGTTTAGGAGTAATTCCTTCTGGGTTATGCCCCTAGTTAATATGTATAAACACTTGTACCTTAGGTGTTTTTTTGAAAAAGCCAAGCCATCTGTTCCCTCTCCTCTTCTCAACATGTTTGGTCTGTTCTGCATTTTGAGGTATCCAGATTGGTGGCAGAAATAAGTTGGCAAAGCATTTGATTGTGCACTTGTTCAGTGTATCTACCGTGACTCCTTCCCTGTCTCAGTCTAAACCTCATTTAGGACCATGACTAAGTCCTCTTGAAAAGAACGATGACAAATCTGCCATAGATAGAAATATCCTGTGTGTGTGTGTGTGTGTCTTCAAGCTGCCTGTTGACTTACGCAACCCCAAGGATTTTGTAGGGTTTTCTTTGGCAAGGAATACTCAGAAATGGTTTTGCCGGTTTATCTAAATACCTGTATGTCCACATATGACAAATGCTGTTGTTCTTTTTTATCAGAGGATATTGTCCTCAGCCACTTCAGTCATTGCTTAATATATACAGTCAAGGAAATTCAGTATTTATATACGTTTGCATGAAGATTACAAAAGCCAAAATATATAATTATTATATTTATAGTTATTTATATACCTTTTTTTTCTCCTAACGCAACCCAAAACAGTGAACAGTGGTAAAAACAAAACAATATACAATTTAATGTTTGTTGCTTTAGACATCCAATTAACTCTAGAGCAGCAGCTTATATTCAGAATAAGGATGTTAAAGAGCACAAAATATATCAGGATTTAAATTATGCAGTTTAGACAAGCTAAGAAACTAAATATAAAGTACAGTATGTATAAGCTTGCATGAAGGTTATAAAAACATATGTAATACATATTGTTTCCGTTAGACATTAATTTCCCCAAACCAGGCTCTTATGTGCAGCATATTCTTGTTAAAGGATGCAAAAGGTATTGGGATTTTCATTGTACATCGAGTACAGTGAGGGGAAGTCAAAGGGAGGAGGGAGCAAGCTTGTTTTCTGCTGCCCTGGAGACTAGGACATGGAAGCTTGAATGTTAGGAAGAACTTCCTAAATGTGAGAGCTGTTCAGCTGTGGAACTCTCTTCCCCGGAGTGTGGTGGAGGCTCCTTCTTTGGAGCAAAGTCTGGATGGCCATCTGTTGGGGATGCTTTGAATGTGATTTTCCTGCTTCTTGGTAGGGAGTTGGATTGGATGGCCCACAAGGTCTCTTCCAACTCATTGATTCTATGATTCTACAGAACTTGGCATCAGTAGGTATTTTGTCCAGGAATTAAAGGATGCAGTAATGTTTATGTAGTCATAAAATTGGGTTTTCTTAAAGTGGAGTTCTTGTCTCCACAAACAGGGGTGGAGTATCGTATAGTCTAATATGTATAATTAGTTGAAATGAGGCATTACATGTTGTGCAGCTGGAGAGGAAGGGCTAATCCTCTCTTCTCTATGTACTTGCATATCATGACCATCACCACCCAGCACAGCAGTTACCCTTAGGAAAAAAAACCCCCTATATTCTGTTGTATGAATGGGCTAACTGGAGAGGAAAAGGGAAGAGATGGAGAATTCAAGTGAAAAAGTAGATGGGAAGAGGAGTTACAATAACAAATTGGAAAAGAGGAAGAGAAGAGAAACTGGCTAAGGACCTATCTGTTTCTGAATCCATAATTATTCATAAGGAATTTTTATATTTTTCAATGCATGGGATCCTCAAAGCAATATATGATTTCAAAAATTCAACCAATTTTCAACAGTTTTAAAAGACTTCAAAATAAAAACAAATTTCAAAGCAAAGAACTGGGAAGGTACCCCCCCCCCCCACACAGTATAAATTTAATTGTTTGTAAAACAGAATAATGATGGGGCCAACCAGGCCCTTAGCCAGGATTTTGATTCGGGGGAGTTTTTGGGGGGGCTGAGTTTCGGGGGGGGTGAGTCTGAGTGAAAGAGGGTCTAGCCTAGCAAACCTTTTGTATCATTACCCCAATACCCCCATGCATATGGGATATATTGAGTATGGGGATCAGATCATGATATGAATAAACATAACAGTTTAAATAATGCACCAGTAAGGCCTTCTCGGGGACCACCATGAGAATTTCGGGGGGGGGGGGGCTGAAGCCCCTCAAGCCCCCCCCCCCAAAATCCAGTTACATACCTGGGGCCAACATGGTCTTTCAATCAGGATGTTGCTACAGAAAAGGTTCTGCTTTGTAGATTCTCCAGTGGGCCCTCTCTTTCTATTTTAGGGACAACAGAGCCCCTGCATCCTTTTTTGTTGATCCTCATAGAAGGTGACATGGGAGTGTAGATGTCCTTGGGACTGAAAAGATTGATTGCCACTGCCATTGAGATTCACTTGTATTTCTGTTTCCTGAACAATTCAAACTATCTCTTCTATTTAGAGCATGGGTGGACAATGACAAAGGGAGTAAGGTTTGTCCTCTACCCAAAATGACTTGTTATCTGTCTGAGGAGGATGTAAGCTCACTTCTACTTTCAGGTTTTGCCTTGAAAAAGGCCAATTGTCTTGATTTCCCCAAGTTTTTGGGGTATTAATATGTGGTAAAGTGTGTCCCAAATCAATAATTTTTTTGCAGTGATTTGATTGGTTAGGTGACAATTGTGATTTGAGGAAAAATGACAAGTTAAAAAAATGGGAGATGAGGGAATCAAGGGACTTGGTGGCCTGTTGGTTGGGCTTCAGCAGCCACCAAACGAGAGCCCAAATGTCTACATACTTCCTATAGGACAGACCTTCCTCTGATTTAAAGCAAGGGCAGCCTAAGGAACAAATTAAATTTTCTGAAAGTTTTCAGGGACTCCATTCACATGGTTTAGGTCGGGACCCCAGAAGGTTCAGAGTTCATCCCAAGTATTGTTATTGTTGTGTGCCTCCAAGTCGTTTCCTGACATATGCTATATCTAAGGTTATTTATTTATCGTGTCAGGAGCAAACCAAAACAGTTGTGTTGCATTAAAAACAAAAAAACAAACAAACAAAACACAAAGTTTGCAGAATTGGTATTCTGCTAAATGTCCTTTGACCAGTAGCTGGCCACTTGGAGTGCCTCTGGTGTTGCTGCAAGAAGGTATTGAGATTATTGTCATGGTTGGTCCTGAAAAGGTCCATTGGTTGATTTGCTTGTTTGGTTAAATGCTGCAAGTCGCTTCTGGTCGCTTCTGGAGTGAGAAAGTCAGCCGTCTATGAAGACATTGCCCAA